AGGAATTTAGTTATAAATATTTGTAAATAATTTGATGCGAATAGATTAAGTTCAGAACAAGAGAGATGAACTGGTGTTTCTTTCGTTGTTGGGCTGTAAAGTATATGGTTGTAGACAGAAGGGACACATTATCCTGGGAAATCATTGTTCTAACAATCGGGCTTTTACATCCTAGATCTGGAAAGCGCTATACATGCAGATCTTCTTTACAAAATAGGGGCGTCATTTGGGTTTCCCCTTCGCTCGTACCCCCGCCCTGCAAACAGGACGCTGGGATACTCTGATGAGCTTCACAAAATCTTGTGAAGGAAGTGGCCTATGACCTATGTATAAAGCATCTGGCTGCAGCTGTTTAAGACCGCAGTTAGACAATGTGCGCAAATGCTATCCGAAAACTTCCCATGGAAATACACACGTTCCATGCCGGATGTGATTTCTGTTTCATTGCGGATCATGTGGACAAAATTTTGAGCGTCGCGTAATGCAATCCGACTGTTCGTGACTCGAAATGGAGCCTGAGCAAGTGACGGGAATTGTAAGTTTGCAACACAGATAAGTTTTACAGAATTTCCTAAATTATTACGCTTTCAAAAACCTCTCTAAACTGGAATAAAAGAGTAATGAATCAGTCTTAACGGCCGTTTCAAACCTTGCAGAGTCATGACCGTGATGACGCGCTGGTCACAGGTCTCGCAAAATCCAACCAATCAGAGCGTGAATTCATCAGAGTATCCCAGGCCAGCGTCTTGTTTGCAGGGCGGGGGTACGAGCGAAGGTTCCCCCTTTTTTTTTACTCACCTTGTATAAACCAATAACCCCAATAACAAAAGCTGGAAGAGATTTGTTTTTCTTTTATGTGAAAGCTGAATTTATTGCCGATCACAGAGGGCTTGCCTAGTGTCCTCATTTGTGCCTATCATCTGCTCGGCTGGCCGCGGCTGGCCGGCTCCCCGGCTGTCTGTCTGGCTGTCTGTCTGGCGATCCGTCGTTAATTAATCTAGATCAAAAAACGGGCACTCTCACCTGAGACCGCAATGTAATCACATGTGTCATGTAATAGCGACAGGAATCACGTTCTGGCAAAGATAGAATAGCATTGACTATGCAAGGACTGTGCGATGGGAGCTCGAAAAGTCATCAGGAACTTTCGTGCGAAATTTGCAGAAAACGTGTTCGTGTGGCCTTATGAATTTTTCTGCAGGAGGGTTTACAAGTGATGAATACTTCAAGATGAACCTCATTTCTAAATTAAGGTCATTGACAGTATATATTGGCATAGAGCAGGGAAGTTCCTATAGCTCTGTGGTCAAAAATCCCCCTACTTTGCTCCCACAAACTTTTTGCTTTGAAAAACACCAAGGACACTGATGAGGCCTAATGGCTGTAAAGTCTCTCATATTAATTTAATAGAACAGAAATCGTAAGGGGTAAGACCCAGTATCTTGAGGTCTATGCTTGCCCCCTCTCCCTCCGTCCCCTCGCCGTTCCCCCATCACGAATTTTGGGAAGGCCGTCCAGAGTTGTTCATCAGTTTAAATGTCCAGGAATTAAATTTTACACTGAAGAATATTTGTAGCAAATATCCATTCCTCTGAAATGTATAAAAACTATGAGACACCCTCTCTTTTTTGGTATTTGTTTTTGCAAAGTGCACGTTTTAGCATTTAAAATATTTCGTGCTTTTCCTGACAACAGGGCGCTGTTCTGTGATGTCAAGTAACACACTCTTCAGATTAGGAGTTTTCTCTTCAAATTGTAAACCCAAAATTGTCATTTTTGAAAACATCTGTGCAAAAACATTTGCTTAGCACAAAAAAAAGTCTGGCTTATAAAAGCAGGTTACCAGCCAAAACTCCATGTGATGTATATTGCTCGTGATTAGTATTCAGCTGTTGTTTGCTATAGCATGAAAATCACGTGGAAATTTGACTTGTAAACTGCTTTTATAAGCCAGGCTTTTTTTGTGCTAAGCAATTTTGTTTGCTTCGCAGCGCCTTGAAATTGGGCCCCGATGGGCCAGGGGTTAGTGAAGGAACGCGCACGCGCCCATGGGGTCGAGGCTGGCCATACACTGGAACATGATGAACCACTGAAAACGGCAAAATAACCACAGCAAACTCCTAAAATTCTGGTGACTTTTTATGTTGAAGCAGTTGTGAAAGTGAAGTATACGGTGAATGACGTCACAATTTTGCTCATAATTATGAATATGGAACTTTGCATTAACATAAAAACCAAGGCTATAACTATGAAGATAAAAAATAAAGTGTAATGGAACACAAAGGTACATTTCAAGTATTGCACTGAAAAAAAATAGGCCTATTAATGTTACGTGCATTTTGTTTACAATGGGGGAGAATACTCCGTGCTTACGATTTTCGAACGTTGTAACATAGGTTTTCCTGAAATGTTCATTCACTTCTGAAAATCGGTCATTCGTTTTCGTTTGAAATTGAATGCATGTCTTTAATCCCATTTCAATTCAAACAAAAAAGTTAAATCGTTTTCATTGTATGTGCATTCGGTTTTGAAAAACAGACGGCCAATTATGTTACATGTGCATTCATTTACGCAAGCATAGGCCTACCATTTCGCGCAGAGTTCTGGAATACAATTTCGTGAATGCGCAATCAAAAGTACGTTTTTCTCAGTCAAAATAGCAGATTACATCACAGAACATTAAACAAATAGTGAAATAGAATGGTCAATGTTTGAAATCACCCTGTAAAAGCGAAAAAGAAGCCCTGTAAACAAATCTGAATGAACATAAACGAAAGGTGCTGCTCAATCACTTAATTATTGATTGATCTGAAATGGAATTAAATGCTCTGTTAGCGAAAATATGAACGCGTGTTCAGAGCAATTCTCAAATTCAGACGTAAATGAACGAACATTTTCAGAAGTGAATGAACATTTGAGAAAATTGGCCGGGAAAACCTATATTATCTTCTTTATCAAATTATCTCAACACAGTTTACTTCCAACAAACCTATGCAAACTCTACTCTTTTACGTATTTAATGAACAATCCATACACCATTTCACGCAAATTACAGTATACTGTGCAAATGGTATAACGCAATATCATAGTGCATATTTCACAGATGCACACATTATACTTTTAAATATAACATACATTAAACATTTTGTGTGTATATTATGTAATATAAACCACGAAGTGGGTGTAATATAATTATCGCAATATTCGCTTTTTCTGGTGTACTGTAAAATTGCGACTCTATGAAATAACGTCTCATTGTATGGAGGATTAACACAGTCGAGTCACATGATAATGTTTTAGTCTATATAAGATAGAACAGACCAGATTTCAAAGGAGTCAAAAATTTCGTATGAAACCCCCGACATTGTTTTCCACACACAAAAACAGTGGTTTTAATAACGTTTGTACATTATCCCCGAGCCCCGCCCCCTCCAAGGGCCCACCTTTAATTTACTGAAGGTGAGTAGCCTACGCCACTGCCACTGCACGTACGTCTTGTAAGCATTTTATTGAGAACATTAAATTTTGAACTTCAATGCTCAAATTCAATGCTCAAAATCTACATTCCACACTACCAACAGACCTAAGACCTGATGACGTCACGCTTTGTTTACATGCGCGCTAAGCACGTGACGTGACGTCATCAGGTCTTTAGATTTAGATTTAGATTTAGATTTATTTCCGTGCTTTCTGACACATAGTAGTAAACCAAATAACTAAATATAAATGAAGTAAACAATTCAAAGGAAATAAATGAACTGAAATAATTAAATGAAATCAGGTCTTAGGTCTATTGATACGTGCCAGCGTGGGTGCTTTGATAATAATGCAATTTACTTTTGCCAAACGTTTCTACTTGCCTCGGGCGGATACATTGTTTCAAATTAGCGTCCGGTGACGACAACGAACAGATACAGCGTAACGTCATACAACAATTTCGACAGTTAATAGTTGAGAAAATCAAAACATTTATTTTACTGTTACATATAATTGCATTATGCGTTTGCAAAGTTGTGTTAATAAGAATTAGGGCCTACACCCTTTTGTTAATCCCTGGTTAATGTTTAAAACCACGTAGGATCATTTGTAATTACCCGAAAGGTACCGACTTAATAACAAAGCGAAGATATAACTGGTATCAAATACCCTGTGAAATTATTCCGCCAGAAGCGGCATCGTTTGAAAGAAAGCTAACATTGAAGGTGGTTTCAAAATAGGGTACACTTTTTTGACGAATGTTAGCAACGGAATCTAGTTATTCGAGATCCGAAAAATACTAGTGAATAATACGTTTTCGTTGTTTTCTAAAAATGTATATTAATGTACATTTAGTATCCGCTGAGCCGAATTTCAACATGTTAGTCTGTTGTAATGCACCCTATCGACCAATTTTGTTGCTTCAAAGGAAAAGAAATGTACAAATAGCAAAATGAAATATGTACCTCTATACGCTTGTTTCAAATACGTTTGAGGCAGTCTCTTGATACGTTTAATGTTGAAGGCTTCAACCGGCCTCTTCTATCTATCTAATGTTAAGGGAGTAAATATGACTTTGTGCTTGGTCGCTTGTAAACAAGCACGTTAAAAATCCAGCTTGGGACCTGGACACGGATAACGGCCAAGCACATTTCGGTCAAATAGTCAAAACAAGCCAAAAGTGTTAAATTTCCAACGATTTTGTTTAACAATCTTACTTCCTGCTTTCTGAAACACCCCTCTGGCTGTGTTTATGGTATGTGCCTCTCGCGAACAGTATTAAAAATGTCCTGAAGAGATTGGCGCGCGGTGGCGCAGAACGCGGCGGTGCCGGTGTAGTGTGAATTTAGGACTCTATGAAATACGGCTCATTGGTAGTATTGCGCATGCCTAAGTGAAGATTGTGAACTTCCAACCAATAAAAGGATAAAAGGGACCAGATTTCCTAGGAGTCTAAATTGATGTAACACCGGGGGCGTGTTTAAAACCAGTTGGTATTTTATCAACGGTTTAAAACCACCCACGCGAGGTTCTCTCGACCAATAGGACAACTGCAAGACTGTGGCAGGTAAAGCAAATCAAAGATTATATTGCTTGAGGAAATTGAAGAAATTTCGTGTTGACAACAGGTTTTTAATTCTTTTTTGTAAGTCCCTTATCCAGAGTATTCTTACCTTTTGTTTCGTTTGTAACTTTGGTAACTTGTCAAAAGAAAACATCGAGAAGCTGGAAAGACCCAGGAAGATTGCCCAGCGCATCATCTGCGAAAACCTTCCTTGTATGAGCAGCGTGTTTTGTTGAAAGTTCCCAAAATAATGCAGGACCCCTCACATCCATTCTATAACCTTTTCAAATTCAACATATCAGGTATCCGTCTTTGCGTCCCACTAACTTCACGTTGTTGCACTTGTTTGTTCCAAACGCTATTCACCTGTAAGTATGTCTGTGAATAGGTACCGGTAATCATTGATATTACTGTAAAGAGCCGTCAATTCGTTTTAATATGTCATTTGTATGGAGTTGCCTTTTTTGTGTGTGTGCTATGTTGACTTCAGAATTTTTTGTGTGCAATTTACTGTGGTCCTCTCAATTTAAACTGTATTTTGTTGGTTTATTTTTAAGTGGGTTTTAGCGATCTGTGTATATTGTACTACATATTGGTTTAGTGATTTTGTGTAATGTCATTGTTCAGAAATGCCAGTGGAAGCTGAATCTCTATACTTTTTAGTGTGGATAATACACTTGAAACTTGAATTTGAATTTGAATGTAAAACTGTATAGGTATTTATGAATGATCATCATTATGTCCACAATATTTACCCATTGTAGAAATGAATTTTCATTACAAATTGAAAGGCAGGTGCCGCACAAACGATTGCTAACCAAATGCTTGCCTACTGCAATGGTGTGAATGATCACGAAGAAACCAGACGACCACCGTCAAACGATCCGACCCTATACAGGCTGGTTTAGGTAGTATCTCTACCAGATGGATGGATGGCATTGGGCCTTTGACACCGTCTACAGAAAACCTTGGACAACGCTTCACGAAACGGCTGGATTCGCAAGGAGTAGAGAAGAGGGTTGACGGCGCTGTTCATATACGTCAGGGTGCTCAGAATGACTCGGGTCTGAAATGTGGGGTAGTAGGTCGGGTCGTAGATCTGCCTCAGGAGCATGCATGTGGTCGGTATCCAGGATACTGCGGTCGTACCAAGCACCATGGTGAGCTTCTTGATCACCTTCAACTCCCGCCGGAGCCACTGCTTGCTTCGGCCGACCCCTTCGGCTCCGGCCGGTATCTGGTCAGATTCCGCCCGGAGTTTCTCCCAAACTACCCGGAAGATCTTACCGTACATGACGAACATGAACAGGAAAGGCGCCAGGCCGTTAATGTAGCAGTAAAACTGGAGATGCGCGATGTTGAAGACGTCTTTGAAGTCGAAGCACACGAAGGACGGGTCCTTGATGCCGTTGAGGCCGACAAAAGGCAACACGAACGCGGTGATGAATGTGTAGCTCCAGACGAATGCCAAGATACCACACACCCTGGCTGCGGTCATGTACTGATGCAGGGGGTAGACTATCTTGAGATACCGGTCTAGACTCAGAGCAAGAAGGGAGAACACACTAGCGCTTGATGAGAACATGATGGAGCACCAAAGTAGGAGACAAGCGTACTTGTTACCGGCTCGGGTGGGATTTAGAGTGATATCTACACCTGGTATCATGGCAACAGACAACAGCCCATCTGCAGCTGCCAGGCTCACAATGAACGAGTTCTCCAAAACCTGCAGAGTCTTGAAATAGGCGACCAGGACCAGCACCGTAGCGTTGGTGAAGAATATGACGAAAATCAGCATGAATTGGGTCGTGATGGAGAACTGGAGCCAGCCGGTGATATCCGGATAGGACGGGACCAAACCGGTCGGATCCGCCAAAGTGCAGTTTTCTGCGCCAGTGCTGTCGCTGCAATTGTCAGCCATTTCGCCGGCAGAGAAATTCATCTTTTTGAAGTCGAGCACCAATCTGATACCAGACAATTGGGGAAATCACAAGAAGGTGTATAAATTATTACAGCCTATTACATACCAAACGATGACCATTATTATAGGGAAATAGTTTACGCGTTGTCCATTATATTGGTTTATTCTAGGTTTAAAATGTACATGTATTTATCATAGGTCTTCTGGTCCAATCTACGGAACCCTTAAAGGTACATGTACATTCAAAACAAATCATCTCGCGCGCGAGATGATTTATCTTTTTTTGAATGTCCCTTTAGTGGCGCTGTACCAATGAAATTGGCACTCAAAATCATTCTGGGCATTTTCTTGTTCAAGATGTACTGTCCGTGGTTGACTGCTCTATGTTCCGACACCCCTATGTTCCGAAACCCCTATGGTTGCAGACCAGTAAATAAACTGCCATAGACTCCAATGATAAATGCCCCCACTTTAGGACTATAGAGGATTATTTATTTTTAATGATCGACCGAATAAAATCGACCCATGAAGTAATAATACGTTTTAGTTGTGTTCTAACAATTGTTCGTGGTCCAATTAGTAAAATTACCAAAATTCGTGGGGGTTGGATCAGGTAAAATTGTGTTTTTGTAGCGGTCATTAAAGTTAGAAAAAAATATCTGTGCACAAGCCTGTGTGAATACTTCCCTAGTGACCCATTAAAACAAAAATCTGTGCACAAGCCTTTGGAAATGTCTCCCTATAGTGCCCATTATTGGTATTACTGTTTTCCCTATTATATTGTTCGACAATGCTTTGTTCTGCCTATTACTCAATAACTGCTATTTTCTTCCTGCATGCACTTGTTTGTGCATGCGTATTTGAATAAGATGTACCTAAAAAAAAGTATCCCACAAAATGCAGCAACGCGTCTGTGTGCTCCCGAAGAAATTTGCATGAGAAAATGAAATGCTGATCAGAAATCACTGTGGTGCGAAATTGGTTGAAGCCGCGGCAAATTCGCCAAGACTCAAATAATTTCAAATTTGCTAAAACAAGAATAACAAAAGCTTGAGTCGAATAACGCATTTAAATTTGCTGATATTTGACGAGTTTGACTGGGAAAGTTATACTTTCACAAAGCTACAGCCTTAGGTTGTGAAATAAACAAAAAGCTATGCTTGTCTCACTTGACGACTGATCACTGATAAAAAAAAATGACTGCAATTTCAGCATTCCAAGTTTTCCAAATGTATTGCTCACCCAAATGATGTTTTCTTTACAGAATTTCGTGTGAGTTTGAGAGCATCGTATTTTTATTTTAAACAGTTAATTGGTGCATGCAGCCCGATGTATTATTATCTGCTTTGGTTTTACAAAATAATGCTTTGATTGAAAATTCTCATATCGTTTCAGTTTGTGGTAACACATGTGGTAATAACTACTGCTTAGAAGATATTTAGTTCTGAAAAGAACTTCGACTTTTGCTAAGTAGTTTTAGTTCTGATAAGAACAGTCCTGCTTTAAGTTCTAAAAAAACAAGTTCCTTTAGAACTTGAAGCAGGACTGTTCTTATCAGAGCTAAAACTACTTAGCGAAAGTTGATAATAAGCAGGACACGTTCTTTTCAGAACTGAACATCTTCTTAGCAGTAGTTATTACCACATGGTGTTACCGCAAACCGAAACGATATCGATACTCCACCATGCAAAGCCTCAAATCTTATATTGAAAATTCTCATTATTTTACCAAAAAACCAAACTCTAAATGTAAAAGAGTGACAACTTATACTCGAAAAGTGTTTTTTTCGTCTTGATGCTCTTCCAAAGAGTGGATGTCGCATGCGCTATTTTAAAGTGGTGTTTCGCTATGGATCGTAGCGAAAACCCACTCTAAAAGATGACACCTTCGCTCAAAAAGAGTGAAATTTCCACTTTTTTAAAGAGCATAGGCTATGTGACCCGCTCTGCAGAAATGAGTCTCTTCTGGCAAAACTCACGTTTTGAGTTCACTACATTAATAAAATGGGAATGAAATAAACGTCCATTGGTGTATAATGGACCTCTCCATGACATTGTTGTGCTTGTTTCATTCTGTCCAGTTTTTACAAAGCTGGAAACGTATCATTGGAGAATAATTGGTTTGAAACATGACAAATAATACTGTAGGCCTAACTAAGGCAAAAAAAAGTCTCCGGTTTCTGGTATGCGCGCGCGTCGCCGTAGCCATGCGCGTCGGCAAAATGAAAAAGTTTTTTTTCAATGAAAAATGATGTCTCAAAACCGCCAAACTCGCTGGTTTGACTGGAATCCTGCTGCTGCACAATTTTAACGTGTTTTTAGATGGGGTTATGATCGAGAATAAGCTTTATGTGGCCTATATGGTCTCCCATAATATTTGCACTAAGTTTAGTCGGGCACTATTTGCAGTCATCAGCCGTCATTTGAAGCAAACAAAAAACAGGTAAAAAAAAAGCCGCGTCGCCGCACCACTTTTTGGGCAAGCTCCATACCAGAAACCGGAGACTTTTTTTGGCCTAACCAAGAAAAGCACCAAACAAATCCTAATTTTGCTTTTTCGTACATTATTACAATTTCTTTGCAAGACATTTAAACTAAAACTATCAAACAACCAAAATATAACAAAAACAAAAAACTAAGTCCTTCCTCTACTGAGACAGTGTAACCCTTCTGTTCCACCTCATTGGGCTCACCAAGCTTGCTCTAGGATCTCAGCTACGTGGCATCCACACAGGATGCAACTTCACACTTCACCGATTTAGCTTTTGCTACTTAAGTGTTTTCTTTCTTAGATTTTAGGCACCGTCTTGAAGACGGTCAGAGAATACTGACCGGAACGTCGAGTTTATACCTCTGCTTCTTTACAGAACCATTCTCTTAGTTCAGAAATTATTTGCACATGGTGTTTCCGCAACCATTTCATTATGAAGTATCTCCACCATGCAAAGCCTCAAAGTTACTTAAAAACAGAAGACATTTTTTTTTTGATCAATATCCGTTTCAAAATGGCAAGAGCCTAAATTCAAATTATGCGACATCGGACTCACTTTTGCAGGGCGGGTCACATTATGGCGGACAACTCTTGTGGTTTTTACACTTTTTTAACATTTACACAGAACGGGATTAAGAAAAATTGTATCTTTCTTACCTTCAGTCAGAGCTTCAGCTTGGATGAAGACGGTACAGATTCAATGAGTTTGCTTGGAGTTTGCTTGGAGATGTTTCCCGTTTGCGTGATGCCTGTCAGAATGGCTGCAGCGTAACTTTCTTATCCAATAAAAGGAGTGACAATTGTACACATTTTGTGAGCAAAAGCCGTCTTATCTGATTGGCTGCTCTATACTTTCGGGGCTAGTTTCTGCGCTGATACGGACCAATGGGAATCAGTAATGAGGCTTGCGGTGGTTTTCGACGCCTGGCATAATTGGGTACATTAATTGGGCCTCTGAGATGGTCATCAAGTTGAGATGGTCATCAAACACGTCAATAAAAGGTCGCTGTGCCGGATACTTAGTTGCAATTAGGCTATCATCTCACAAAGGTGAGACACGACTTACGCAAGTGAGTGCGTGAGCACCTTAATGAGACAAATCCCCGCCTGTTGCAAGCCAAATTCAAGAAAATCAAGTCCTCAGTGTAAACCTCTTGCTCATGGCGCCCTCACCAGGGACAAGTACAACGGAAGTACAAAGTGCCCATAGTGCTTATGGGTATCACTGAAAGCAAAGAGCTGCACCCCGATGGGTCTCTATTCGCTCTTTCACACTTATGGGCATACAGAGCCTCGATCTGGCAACTTTACACAATAAATATAGCCGGTTCAGCGTTTCCCGTGTCGGGGTTCAGATCACTGAACCGGCTATTTTTATTGTGTAAAGTTGCCAGATCGAGGCTCTGCATGCCCAATGGCGGTGGGTCAGCCCACCAAAAATTGAAAAGAAAATGAAAGGTGACATGTTGATCATCATTTTTCTGTGCAGCCTGAACACTTGTGAGAGTTCCGAGTATTTTAAAAGGAATTATAAAAGTATGGGGATTTAACTCTGCACTGGTGTGTATGGGAGTGTTTATACTGGGGTGCACCCATCAGGATAACTACAGTCATATACATGTGACGTCCTTTCTCTTAAATGTAGTTCTCCCATTGTACACAGCGCCCTCACCGTGTTCTGGTTTATTTACATCCACAGCGCCCTCACCGAGTTCTGGTTTATTTACATCCAGTGAAAAATGAGACGACAAACGTATGCCCTATACCGTGCGCATCACAGAGGTCCGGAATAAATATTCTATACATTGAGGGCGCTCTATGCGGGGATAGACGAATTTCAAGATGAGACCATTGGTGGAATTTTGATCAGCTTTTGTAACGTGATTTTAAGGATGTGCATAATGATCCAGGCAAAATCCCTCCATGTTTGACTCCTCAAGAAAATTCACTTGATTCGACTGCAACTATAGAGACAAGACGCTCAGAGTAAAATGATTTCATTGGAATTGATCACTTTCTGCTCCAGACGTGCCTTTTTCGAACTCTTTTAATGTAATTATTTTTCACAAAATCATGTGGTCCCTGTAGTCACCTCCAGTAGGTATTTCATCTTTCAAAATATGAATTCAGACGTACATGGCTAGCGTTTCTCCGTTTATTCTTTACTTTTACACTTTTATGCTTTATTCTTAAACTAGACTTGAAATAAACGGTGAAAATAATGTGAAGATTTACAACTAGCAATAGAACAATAAAAAAACCAAGGTTTCCACTAGTTTTTCAACTAGTTTAAAATCAATATTTGCTAAAAAAAAAAAAAAAATCAAACTATCCTGAAATTCTGTTTCTTTGAATTTTTAAAAGACTTATGATCGTCTTAATTAAATTATCGAATTTTGAATATGGTTACACACTAACTTTCATAAACCATACTAATATCAAGTGGAAGTTTTCCAAGTGAAAATTGACGAAAAAGTCAAAAACCTTAGATGTGAAATTTAACTTTTTGTTTAAGTGGGTTTTAGTACACTTATTCTACTGTTAATCTTAAAATCAGTCGTCCAAAGTTTCCAGTTCCTTTCTTGGTTTGCTGACCATTCCATACACATCCTGGGCATATAGACAGCTGCAGATCGTACCTGGAATAAAGAGGAACAACAATATGCATTTAATTGCCATATTCATTACATTGTGAAAGATTTGATTTTCGCCAAGGTGACTTATCTTATGAAATTAAAACAGAAGATATGAATATTGTTTTGTTTGATTCCGTAAGTCTGGATAAACCGAATGGAGGGGAGCCTAGTAAAGCTGGTTCCAGAGTGCAAAAACTGTATTCAATCGATTTCAACAATTTAATGGAAGACTTTCAAGTTTCCTGCATGTGTCCTACACAAGGCAATGGGTCGGCCTTACCCATTTATTGGGGCCACCAGATAACTCGAACCTTTGGGCCTTGGCGAGACTTGAGCAAGTCTCATTCACGAGTCAGTAAGTAAGTCAGTCTGCCAGTCAGGTGAAAAAAGGGATACACAGTCGACTCTCGTTATTACGAGGTTCTCCGGACTTTAATCTCCTCGTATTATCCGGAAGCTCGTCTTATGCAGAAAGTCATTTTACCCACGATCTTGTGCACAAACATGCAACGCAGGTGTTTTCTTGAAATGACCCCTCAGGCACCACCAAAAAACCATCAAGATGGGCTTCGATTTATTTATTTTTGGTTTAAAGTAAACGACGAAGAACAAAATGCAGTATGTAATGCCGTGATCCCTTGGTTCTTTATTTAGTATGATCCTAATAATTAACAAGCCCATGCAGGGGCAGATATGTTGGATAAGTCGTACTTACCAGAGCTATCCGCAGGTAGAGACCTCCCAGAGCAGGACCTCACAAATCTGCAAAGTGGCTTCGTCTTTAGGAATGTGAATAACGATCTCATCTCCTCTAATAGGTGGATCGCAAATGACGAGGTTCATCCCGCCGGGGATATTGGCCGACTCGGCGCTGACGGGGGAGCCGCACCGCTTGCGTCGTTGTATTCCCCCTACAAGCACCTCTGCTCCGGCCAAACGGACATCTACAATGTATGGAAATACAAAGATTAACGTCAGCTATGGAGAAAATAGTGTTTTTAATGACTGGTGTAAATACCCTTCAAGGGAATTTGGGCAACCTCGCAGTCAGATGCCCTGATTAAAAGAGACAAAACTGAATTTACAAAGAGCATTGGTTTTAGCCAGGTCCGTATTTCAAAAAGTTGCATTCATCTGTAAAATCTTACGATTAATCTCCAAGTTTAAACGTCATTAAACCATGGCAAATAATGGGAACGTATAGTGCATGACTCTTTGATAAATTGGCATTTTCATAACAGGCTGCATTATTTCGACCAAACTGGGCCAAGTAAACAAAAATGAGATAGAAATTCTTGAGTGATTAAAAACCCAGCAAATTCAGACAAGCTTTTATAACTTACAGCTACCATCCCGACGGTTCACAATGCCGACTTGCGCAATGCAGCGAGACTCAAGAAGATTCAACCTCCACCACGGGTGCCCTTCGGTTTCTGGAAATAACGGAGAATAACAAAGCCTCGATAAATTAATTGCCTTTGAAACGGGGAGTATTATAAAGCATGCAAGCCTATAGGTTTAGACATTTCATTGAATTTGACTTTTATTTAGATATTTCTATTGTACTGGAATACAGTTCTTAACAAATGTTATGACAATAATATAATTCATATTGTAGTTTTATTTATTTATTTATTTTTCTTTCGTATCATTAAGCCCTTACGATTTTCAAGTGTAACTTGTTCAGTTTTCCCTGTATCTAAATTCTGCGGTGAAATACGTCTAATGATTCCTCACAGTCGCATGAACACTGCATCCACATTAGAAAGTATTAGCTGTGCCGGAGGCCTGGTGGAGAGATCGGTTGAGGACAGTCGAACCAGGACTCAGGTAAAGGACTGAAAACAAGATCCACAAGTCGGCCTGGGTGGGATTCGAACCCGGGTCATGGAGTTGAAAGGCGAAGAAACGTTTCACCAACGTGACTGTGTGAGTGTCAGCTAAGATAAGCGACCGACATACCTGTATGCGCGCAGGTTTCTCCGTTGATCAGGTCCGAGTTGAAATTCCCGTCCACTGCGTTCCCAGAAACGTAATCTACGCCGTTGAAAGTCAGAGTGGAACTCTGCTCTGTTAGAGGGTTGGCGAAGTCTACCAGTGTAACAGGAGAAGCTGCAAGTCATATCGAAGTAAAGAAAGGAGATATCAGAATGTATACAGATCTTTTTTTTTATGAAAACCGATGAGTTCGATTTACAGCATACACATTATGTACGAAAAAAGGTTGTATTAGACACTACGTATTTAGACACTAACAGAGCAGTTAAATTCGTGAACCCCCAAAACATAGCCTTTTGAACGTCGAGTTGCTCAGGAAATATGCTCAGTATGATTGAAATGTTAAATCATAACGAAAGAAGAATTTCTAAACTTCATATCAGTGAAAAAGACGCCGTCATCGATGCCAAAACCACAAAATTGTATACTGGTAAAGCAGACCTTTAAGTCTGAAAGAAATCGTTCGAAATGTCCCTAAATCTATGTATTTATATCAATTTCTAGGAATTTACAAAAAAAATGTTATTTCACGAGTAGTTGAACGCATTATCATCTAAGTATATTCCGAATTTCAGCTTAATATATTGTTGCTAACGCTTGTGTTACAGCGCGAACTATCTGTAAGGAAAATCTGGACGGGATTTGTTTTTCCGGCCGAAACCAAAAAGGGTGATATTTATCAATTAATAACTCGTGAAGGAGGCTTTTATGCAAATTGTTATTGCACACCATATGGATAGGAACCTTATTGATATTTGTGGTGCTTGAAAAACTTGGCAGACATTGCTAACGCCAGTGTTACAGCTTTCAAATTAGCCAGGCCTTCTTTTTCCGAATTCAACGAAAAGTAAAGAACATATCACAACGAGTTTTAGCATATCGCTGCATCCGTTAAAGGGAATAATAGCTTCAAAAAGAGGAAAATTATCCTGGAAACTTCTCCGCTTGAGCTGCCCCCTACTTGTCAGCTGAAGAGCAATGAGACGGGGAAAATGTTGACTGTTCACTTTTTATGTTCACAAAAACATCCTATCGTTTACGATAACGACTGTCATGTAATTTTTCGGGAGAAGTGAAATTTACCTTCAACATTTGCCATTCTCTTCCACGTTACGCATATGCCTTCTGTGGCCGACCTTCGCAAGCAGAACCCGCGCCCAGCAGGGCACTGATACGGCGATCGGTTAGAGGGATCACAGGCTGAGAATAAAGCAATGGTATTCAAATATTAGTTTTACCGCACGATAACACCATGCGGCAATACATTGGAATCGTGAACATTAAAGCTGATTAAATAACCAGAAAATTAAGAAGAAACATTGTATTAATACTCCACGGAAAACTTAGCGATGGGAAACACATTTTCGGGGTGAAACACAAATTAGCACGGGGAATTGATTGTGGTCCGAGGGAAGGATTGTAAATTGCAGCCACCGCTTTCTCCCAAAAATAAAAGACGGACTGAAGTTCAAAGAGAAGAAAAAAAGAAGAAGGACATGTTACCTTTGTTAGTTTTAGCCGCGAAGACAGAGCCCAGGCACACCAGAACGACCAAGCAGATATAAGCCTTCATCTTGACTGCATAAAGATACGTTAACCCAGAATTATAAGAGCGGCAACCACAACAAGAACTAGAGGTTCGCGTTTGTTGAGTTACAAACACAAAGTGGTCGGGCCGGCATCTATTTCATATGTCTTAAACTTTGCCACAATAATCAACTGAAAATCATTTTAAAACATTTTTCAACCTGCCGCTAGAGGCCGTTCTAACATGAAGTCACCGGTATTTTTTGTCTAAAGTACAAACTGGCTGGAGACTAACATCGCTGAAAGCAAATGCACATCTTTTTCCAACTTTTAAATTACAAGGCACTTCCGGTTTGGACCGGAAAGAAGGGTCAAGTAAGTTTGCAAGTCCCATACACAGCAATATCAGATCTCCCCCTAAAGCTATAATAAATTTAATACAGCTCAATGGATCTCTCACAGTTGATTTTCAAATATTAATTACGTGGTCTCAACATATATGCACACCTAAGCTACTGTATTGTAAACTCATCAAGTACAATCGTAAAAAACCCGTATCTCTAAAAGTAAAATTCGCACACCATTGGCGTAATGCAAAGTATTGCTCGCCATACCTATTCACCCCAATATGCACGTTTAAAAAAAACCGCCTAGTTGGGCACCCGTTAAAGTTATGTAGCGCCCTCTAATTCATATGGCATCTAATTCATGTGTTGCGCCCGACCACTCAATGATACTAGTTCCATACCCAACCTCGTCAACAGGGTGTCGAGCAGTACGCGCCCACCTCTGCTCTCTCACCCTGGTATTGGATCATTTGCATGTGCAAGATTATTGAACACATATGCAAATGAGGAATAGCCTGGTGCCTGCATGTGCATTACATAAGCGTTTGATTTTGTATGCGGTATCTGGGGTAAAAACAGCATCAATTCGTCGCGCCGGAATTTGTTTAACTTAAAATGTTACAATCTGGCCCGCCAATATGCAGTATCACATTTTCATATTAATATAAGCAAACTGGAAAGGAAAGGAGTGTTATTGAGAAGGCGTGGACGTTATTATTACAAAGCACCATAAAAACACGTAATGTACGTTGGAAATAACAGCACCAACTACACGATATAAATCCATTATTAGCAAATTGCTTTATCGAATCAGGACGATGGTGGTTCCATACCTGCATCGGGCATCAATGGATTTTCCTGCCATGTTGCCTAAATTGAATTCTGTATCTGCATATGTCTAGATTTGAACTTTCTATTAAAAAACACAATATTCAAGCAACTGTGGCGACTATCTTATCCAACGTAAAGACACTTGTGACTTTATACACGTACACAATGGTAACTAAATCACCAAGTACACAGACTTGATTCAATTGCCTTAAATCGGTATCTTACAAAAATAAGTTTAAACTAGAGGTTCGCGTTTGTAATGTTACAAACGCAGAGTGGTCGGGCAGACAACTATTTCATTAGACACTGCCCAGTTAAGTTTGAATATTTTTATGTCAGAACAAAGGATTACGAACTTCAAAATTTCCAGTACAATCAATCATTTTGTAAAAAAAAATGCATCTTTTAAAGAATATGATAAATTTCAGTATACATTTTAGGTACACGTGCACGTTGTTTCCAGTTTGATGACGTCATCAGTCAAGGGACTACTGATTTAGTTCAAGGAGGATACCTGTTTATCATTAAGTAAAAATAATGCATGGAAATGTGGAAATTACAAGTGTATGTAATAATAACACCCAACTTCCGGTCTGATCCTGTAATGATTATAAAATCCTGCAAATTCATTTGTGGTTGCTCACGGAATATATAGGGACAATTTGGCAGAATTTTGCTTGAGGGCTTTAAAATTTGAAAAAGTTAAACTCGTTTTGATGTTCCGCTGGAGGGTGTCCTTTCGGGGATGACGTCAAAATTATGTTTTTTTGTGTTTGGCATCCCTCACTTAACACTTTCATAATGTACTTGTCTGTTGTAAAATGCTTTTGTTTTAGTTACGATTAATTTAGGTCAAGTGGTTTTGTGCCCGGGAACACCGGAAATGAGTAAGTTGCTCAAGGCACCGTCTAGTAACCTCACGAAAACAATTGAACACGAAGAGATTTTGCTCAAACTATTTTGTCAAATTGTGCCCTGAAATCGCTTGTAATTTGATACCTGATGACGTCTTGATGACAAAAAAAATGTATAACATCATCTTCGTAACATGGTACAAGTTCGTCCCCAACTGGCTCTCATAGGATATAAAGCGCACGTTAGCAACTTGTGTCGTCAATTATGTCTCTGGTCTATACCCTAATGAGCTTGTTCGCATAGCTTCCCCGAGTCAACTCGGATATGGTAATCCTGGTGGAACCAACAAGAACCAGTTGAAACCAACTGACCAAACCAGTATTAACTGATAATCCTTATGCACTGTTATTTTGGTTGTGTAAAAATCAAACGGTTGTGTACTATATGAACCTAGCAACCCGTTGTGTAAACTGTTCTTTACACAACTTGTGTAAAATATTACACAACCTGTTCAATATTTGTACACAACTAGTTGCTAGGTTCATATAGTACACAACCGATATGACAGTGTGGAATCAACAGGAACCGGTCAAAACTAAATGAATAAACCAGTAATGACTGGTAATTCTGATGGGATCAACAGGAACCAGTTGAAACCAACTGAATAAACCAGTAATAACTGGTGATCCTGATGGGACCAATAAGAACCAGTTGAAACCAGTTAAACTTACCAGTAAGAACTGGATACATTGGAATTACAGGGAACAGGAACCAGTTGAAACCATAGCCGAACCAGTTACCTACGGGTAATTCTTACTGGATTCATGAATTCTACGTGACAGGTCTGTAAGACGAGCGTTTGGCATATTTGTACAGATAGGCTAACACAATGTAAACTGCCGCGTCCATATACTCATAAAGTAAGTTACTTACATGAAGTTGACGCTGTTGTGCTCCTGAAGTAGAGATAAGCTTGCTAGTTGACGACAATCGCCGGAATATCTATTTGGAGAAAGGACCAGACCTTTTATACTTTTTGGAGATGTAAATGGACGGTGCAGAGCTTACGAATGTGGTAACGAAGGACCAATAATTGAGAGTGGTATCAGTAGACGTTCCAGATTGGCTGAAAATTATAAGATGTGAGCTCCAGTGAAAGCCCCACCCACGCTTCTTGACCAATCACAGCTGCGATTAAAGACTGACATGCGTGCACTAAAGTGCACCATGCATTTGCGTGCGTTTGACGCACGGGCTGGCACGTGCAGTGGGGCAGCGGATGGTGTCACGTATAGACTTTAGTATAGACTTTCAAAACGTATTGTTACAAACAAACAGATACATGTTATTCATTTTTAGAAATAGTTTTATATCAAGCAGAATGTGTTGATTTGTTGTATTTAGAAATACCTATCAAGGCATACGTACAGTCGTACACCCTTAAAAGAGTTAATTCGTCTATAAGAGACAAAGGACAAACATTCTAATTTAAAGATGACATTGTGCAATGACAAGAAACGTCTTTGCTATCACAAGAGTCGATTAAACGTCATTTCCTACAATTACTCGTATCAGCAAACTGTAATTGATCATAAAACCAGTAACTCGAAATTAATCGTTTCGACGAACATTATTTTTGATATTAAAACAATATTTTACACTACAGATTCAATTGAGACAAAACAAACTTCGTTTTGTATGAATCCTTTTTTGTAACGTATCTGGCAAGTTATTTATCATGTAAACTGGTTTGTTATGGTTGTCAGCCGCTAGAAGCAGACATATCAGGACAAACAACGAAACGCAATACTTGACAAAAGTTACCATCAAAAGCGTTAAAGTGACTGCCTCAATAAGTACGTAACAATTCTGCAATGCTCGCTCTTGAACACTTACATAATCTTATGTTTTATACTCAGTCCAATTTAAAAAAAAAACCTATAATTTTCTCTTACAAAATGTTTGGATTCGAGTAATCACAATATGTCGCAAGAAGAATCAATGAAACAGTATACAACTAACATTCGGAGATGTAACGTATCTTGTGACAAATATAATGGCACGCCTATAAGACATAGGCCTACCTTTTTTTCTTTTCTCATTTAGCCCCCTTTCATAACCTTCTTGGCCTTTTTTTTTAAAGCCTTTTTGCAGTAGGATATCATTTCAAGTTTATTTTACTTAATTGGTCGCCTTGCTCAGAGCTTTTGAACATGACAAGTGACACTAATACGTTACCAAGCTGATCTGATACGTTACTTACCAGGTTGATCAGATACGTTGTCAGGTTGATCAGACTGCTTAATAAACCACCATTTTCCGTGAAAATCATGTGTTCGCGGGCTTATTTTTTTGTAAAGTCGTAGTGCTGTACGGCCTTAAATGTTCTTGCTTTAGATTTATATCTATACTTAACAATTTATAGGTTATGTCCTTTAATGTTAACACAAGTCAATGAAAAAAATAAGTATCTTTTCAACACTCTACTTGACTGTGCGAATGTGAACACTCTCAAAAAGCTGGTAAATTTGGTTGGTAGAAACAGTTGGTTAAA